ACATCTCAGGAAAGAATGGTGCTATACCCAAAATGTCTTTCAAGATATTGTAGATATTGTGGATACAGACTTCAGGGTCCTGTACCTATGGACCTTTCTCTATTAGAGGAAAGGAGGAGATGTAGGATGGAATATCTGAAACACTGTTTGCAGCAGTATTGCACTTTCTGATGGCCTGATTACAAGCACTGTAGTTTGATCTGGTAACAAACACTTGAGAACAAGCATTTCTGAGAACACAAGCAGCGCTGTGTGGTTAAAGGGCTGGCCAGAAAGCCCAATAATAGAGATTCAATTATACGCTCCTCCACAAAGTTCTCATGTAGCCATGGGCAGGCTGACTATTCTCATCTTGTCTTGGTTTGCCCATCTTTCACAAGAGGCTCATATTTTCCTTCCTGTTATGTGTTGTGAGGGAAGAAATCTCTAATATTTTGGAAGTATTATTAAACCCCTCTGTGGAAAGGAAGATAGATATCAACAGGAAGACTGAGCCCTTGCTTTAGAAAGATGACTTGCAATTTCAAGGAAGAGGCCAGAACATCAGAAGTCAAAAAGGCATATTGAAATTTTCGAGAAGCAACGCTGATTCGGAACATGTTATGTTTGCAGCTGCTGAGGTGTGAAACTTCTACAATGTGACAACCAGCATGAATTACTTTATTGCTCACAACAAATACAGATGGACAGATATCAGGGTGAAATGAAGGGCAGGGGCATTTGCAAAGTGACAGAGAGAACCTTCTACCACATGCTGCTTGGAAATAAATAGATCTTAATCAGCTCTTCTGCCTTTCTTTATCTTCAGAAAACCTTTAGAGTTAATATTCTCCAGCAGAAGACTAAAATGCTTTTAGGAAAAGCATGTTGTTTTATGGGAATCTGTCTCTATTTTAAGAAGGTTGTCTAAAATGCTAATGGTTCTCTTTTCATCACGATTCACAAAGCTTGTGGCTTTTAAATTTACCATTTAAGTTTCAGTCATGGGAATTGGATTACTTCATTCCCTGTCCCTTCTCCAATGTTATCAGTCAAGAGATTTGTTGTTTCCAGCCTACATAACATGATGCCTGTATTCCTTGCCTGATGATCCACGTTGCTTTTGAGTCAGGATTGAATCCCCTGCCTGTTACATGCAGCAGCACCTGTGGCAGTGCTGGGCACGGGAAGTACTCCCGAGGGGAAGATACTCACACGTAGCTTTTAGTCGGTTAATACAAAAAAGAAAACAGGACAAAAAGCGTGTCTCTAAAACATGAGTGGAAAGATAATGTTGCACTTTCACCCACAAGTGATGGTGGTATCTAAGTCCATGTGGTAAATCATAGTAGCAAGGCATTGAAAAACAGCTTCTGTATTATAGGACTTACAGAACAAGCAATGTAATACCTTCCTTACTTGCACCCTTTAGCTATATTTTTAAAGGTTTGGGTTGCTAGATGGTGGAGAAGGGGGGTTCATCGTACCCCTGCAATCTGTGCACTTTGCCAGCGTGTGAGGACTTGGGATGGGTATCCAGGAGAGGATCAGCTGGAGAACCAGCTAAACTGTGCATGAGTGAGCTGAGGGAAGGTGTGTTTGCTGTTGCAGCTCCCATTTGCCTGCCTAAGATTCAAGAATGTATTTTGCTGGCATAGTCAGTCTTGTTGATTGGGGTTGTCCTGCCATGATCCTGAGATGCTGTAGTTACTCAGAGAGGTTTTCAAAGACAGACAGATGTAAAGAACCATTCGCTTCATAGTCTAAAAATAAACGAAAGTCATTTCAGAAAAATAATTAAAAAAAACCACTCAGGATGTGCTCAAATGTCATAAAGTGGAGTTACATGACTAAGCATGACCCTTTTTACCTTTGCAGGATATATTCAGGAAAGGTCTTATCAGTGCCAATCAAACTCAGACAAAACCCCATCAATTTGTACTGATGAGCTATTGTTTATTTATATGGCAACTCTTGCTCCTAAATTAGCAGAAGGAATTTATATATTGCCTCTAGTACACAATGAAAATCTTTGCTTTTCTGCTGCCCTTTCCATGTCAAGCACCACACCAACAGAACAGTAATCATAAAAAGTACCACTACTAGGGGTTTGTGTCCTGAGAATATAGGCTGCTGTTCCCTGGGTTTCTCCTCACTAAATAGACTGAGGGTAATTAGTTACATACATTAAGCTCTTTCCCACTAAAGAGTCATTTTGAATAGATTTGTTCTCAGTGCTGACCTCAGCTTTGTGTGGGCTCTGACAGGTGAGGAGCACCTGGAAGATGATCTTGCACAAGTGCAGGCTGTTTATGAAACCAACTTTGCAACCCCTTTTCTCAGCACTGCCATTTGCTGCCCTTGAGGAAGATTGTGGCAGGACAAAAGCCAAGATGTTTTTCAACAGAAAAGAAATTTTGTATTTTATTTATTTCAGAGAAGCCCTAATGGATGGGCTTGTGAGGAGCAGACTTGCAACTGGCCTAAATGGTGGCAATCTTAAACTAAGCCCACTTAGTTTACGAGAACTATGATTTCATAAAGAATTTCAATTTTAAAATTCTTTGTATGTGGTATTAAGTGTCTGTCAGAGGTTAGCTTTCCGGTTTTTTCAAGAGATAAATAAGCCCAGGGTTAAGATGCTGATGGATTTTGCTGTGTTGTTAGAAAAGGAATTTCAGGTTCCATTAGGAAGAGAGGTCAAATGAAACAAACTTCAAAATTGGGCCTAGAAATCTCGGACTCGCTACTTGAACTCTTCTGTTCAATGGCAAAACTCACACTGATTTTATTGGGGTAAAACCCATTCCTTAATTTGGTATATAGGATGTGGAGATGCTTGTGATCCCCTGTGGGACCTATGAAAACTGGCTCCATCAGCGAGTCATTGGGGTAGGTCTGAGTTGTTGCTGACAACTTGCCGCCGAATAAAGCTATTTAAATTCAGCTCATTAAAAGCAGGTTGTTAGGGTATGTTTCCATTAGGACAAGCAAGTGCAGTTACCCAGAGTCAGCAGTCACAAGTTAAAATGGAAGGGTTGTGTAGAGCTGACACGGACAGCTGCACAGCGCTTCAGAGAGACGTGTTGGGCTGTTATTGAAGATGACATAGGAAACAGTAAACATTTTATGTTTTTATCTATCTTTCAAGTTGAGCCCAGGCCTTCACTGAAAAGCAGGAAGACACATAAAAGATGCTTAGCAACATTCAGTGCTTGTTTTAGAAAGCACTCAGGAATTCCCAAGGAACAGAGGCAAGGGTTGCCTGTGGGAAGTACAATTTTCTGGAGGAAATGTATTTTTTTTATGCACCAGACCTCCTTGAACATATTCAAATGCTTTGTGGGGAGATTTTTTTGGGGTTTTTTTGGTGGGACAGTCACAAAACCTAAGATAAAAATCTGAATTTTAAGATGTGTATCTTGTTAAAAGGGCCTTGGTCGCTGGTGGGCTGAAGGCCTGGTAATATTTATGTTGTCAGAGGGTTTCTTTGCAAAAAAAAACCAGTGACGATCTACAGGAACTGGTTATAGTTTCAAGGGAGTGTGAGAAACTGGATGTGAGAACCCGACAGTTGTGTTCTGCAACTCAATCTTGCATAAGTATCACTAGAATGAACACAGCCCTGAGTAAACTGCCTTCCTCTGAAGCAAATCATTCTGTCCCAGCACACCTATAGATCTTGTGGACACTTAGTATTTTGGATAAGGAGTTACATAAATCTCTGATGATGCTAATTTATCACTGTTTACAAATTTCACTGAGCCTGCACCGCTGGTATTGGTAATCCTTTTGATCCACTGTGGGAAAAGGGTAAAAAATAACAGAAATTGAGAAACAGGCAAAGGCTAGCCAAGGAGAAAAGCTGCCACAAAGACTGGTGGATGATTCACAGTTTTCAAATCTTCTTCCCCGTCATGAGCATTCTGTTTCTTGAAAGAAAGTGAAATCATTGCTATGCAAAAAGAAAAAAAAAAGTTTCAAGAAGGAAACAAATGTTCAGAGACCTGACTTGACTGGAATTTTCCCTGCATATATAATCTTGACATATCAGTGCTTAAACTTTCTATGAGGGGAGACAGGGAACAATCAAATATTAGAGAAGATGCCCCTATCTGTTCCATTATTTGAGGGTGTAGAGATGCTCTTCAGCTCTCATAGTCCTTGCTATTTCGGTTGCCAGGTGGTCTCCCTGCCCAGATTTCACATCAAAAACAGCTGTGAAGACTTTTTTCCCCAGCACAGGCTGGAGGAGGGATCCCAGTAGTCCCATCCTTTTTGCAGAAGGCAAATATGCAATATAGTCTGGTATGAATTTAAGGGTTCCTTACATTAGGTCTCAGGGATCTTTTTTGTTTATTTATAAAATAAATACAGGTCAAATCCATATACCCATATCAGATGCAGTACTCTGTCCTGACTTGCAGAGCATGAAATGCTTCGCTCCAGCCCCCTGCCCTCCTCCTACTCTCAGTGCTCCCTGGAGTACTTAAAAATGTCCTCACCAAAAATCATGGGACAAGGTCACCATCTAGATACAAGAGAGGGCAATAAAGTGTCCTGTGCCCCAGTTGTGTACCTGCAGCACATTTGTTATCATTGACACCAGAGTACCTGCATGCCACCATGGGATGCAGTGGAATAACGGGTGCAGACAGGAAGGCAGGACATAAACACCTGCTGTGCTAGTACCCAGAGACTGGAGCTGTTGGTCACAGCGTTGCACTGAGGCTGTTTTACACATTCTCATTCCTGAGGAAGTTGTCACAGATTACTTTGGTGCATCTGCCCTGAGCTTCATTGTGTGCTGAAATGGTCGCCTTCTCCCTTTCCCTAGCCCAAGATAGTATCTCAATTTATGGGTTTTCATCCCTCTGAATCCTTCTTACTGAAATCACCCAGTGCCAACACACACTGTTGCAGATCAGCAACATTTTGGATTTAGACTGTTATGAACCTCCAACGATGATAATTTATCACTGTTCACAGGCATGGTGTTTTTCTGTCTTCCCTCACTGCAGATCTGCGCAGGATGACAGCTGGCTTCATGGGCATGGCTGTGGCCATCATCCTCTTCGGATGGATTATCGGGGTGCTGGGGTGCTGTTGGGATCGAGGCCTTATGCAGTATGTGGCGGGGCTTCTCTTCCTCATGGGAGGTAAGGATGTTGGTGCCTGAAGAAATGTCTTCTTTTCCTTCACGTTTTTGTATTCCCTCTTTATGGATGTCCCTTCTTTCCTAAGTCACCGAAAACACGTTTTCAGAGTTGTTTTAGATGATCTGGACTTGGTTTTATTCATTATCCGTGGTAGTTTCATTATCCTTCTGGTGTACATCAAGGATAACCCAGCCATAGTGACATGTTACTTCTTTTACAAAACCATGTCTGTAAGTCACAGGACTGGAAATGGCCTCCTGAGTTGTTTCATCCAGTCCTCTATTGTTGCAAGTAACGCTGTCACCCTTAAACTTAATAAGCTTAATAAATTTAGTAATAAAAATCTGAAGATTACGCAGATGTTGTTCCCACTGCTATCCTATTTCATAATGAGGCACTGATAGCTAGATACGTATGCTCAAAGTTTGAACCTATATTTATTCCTCATCAGTTGTTCTTGAGTCAAATACAACCTTTAGTTTATAAGTCTCTTTTCTTTCTGTGATGTACTTACGAAGAGCAATGGTATCTTTTGTTTTCCTTTTCCCACTCTACATACGCTATTTCGTGTTGACTTTTCTCTGTAAGACCAGTTATCAGTCCAGCAGCCTTTTCTGTTCTTGTTTGTTCTTGCCTTTCTCAAATACAGATGAGAAGGACTGTTCCCAAAGCAGGTCTGATCAATGCCTTGTATGTGATGTGACGGTTCCCTTTCTCTGCTGGAAATCCCTTGCCTGAAGTACTTTCTGGTTGTATTTGCCTTTCTAATGCTGCGTCACACTGGAGACCCGCAGTCATCCTTTAGTTGGATAATACATCCAGGCCTTTCTCCTCCTTTCTAATTTCCTACTGATGATCTCCCAATTGACAGCAGAGGCTCTGTTTATTACTCCCCAGGTACATGCCCTGGCACTCCGTCTTTTGAGCTTCTTTCTATTTCTACTACACCAGCCCTCAAGGTCACCCAACATTTCCCATGTAATGTTTCAGCCCTTCTTACTACAGATGTCATCCAGCTTTCTGTCAGCAGCAGGTTTCATGGCACACAGTTACCTGAAATGAAGGGTGTGAGAGTCAAATCCCAAACACAGCGCTGTGTGAGTGTCTCAAAGTGAACAGCACTGTCTCGGGTCTCTCTTCTTTCCTCTGCTGGTGGCTTTTCTTTGGCTGGGTTTTTGCCCCCCAGGCAGGTCATCACTTCAGTGCACTTGGTCTCCTGTTCCTCTGTACTGCGGTGTGACACAGCTAAGAGTGTGAAACACAGGAAAGCTGCTGTAGTCCCAGAAGAGGAGCTAAGTGCTCGACTACCACGTATTTATGTTGCAGTGCTGTTGGTGCTGCTGTGATACATGGTAGCTTTCTCGGTGCCCACAAACACATTTGAAGCCTGCTAGTACCTTGTGCGAGCATAAACTGGTCTATGTGTGGATGTCAGGAAATGGTTTGTTGTGGGTGTCAATGCTGTGTGGGCAGTGGGTCTGCCACGTTAGCTTGGTATTTCTTTATATTCAAAGCTTAGTTTGCAAGGAGGCTATCTTACTGTAATATGCTGAGATATCTGTGTGGTATTTCACTTACTACAGCAAAATATTCAGATTGAAACATTAGGACTATACTAAATAAATGCAGAAAACATAAATTTATTAGAAACTAGTGCAGTCTTGTTTACTAATTGGAAATTATCCCTATATATCAGAAAGCTTCTAGTGCAGCCGCAGCAATTACTTACTGGTTTAATGTTATTTGTCAGTGGTTTGAAAGATGGCTGATAAAAGTTTTCAGGTGACACAAGCCTGGGTGTACCCATGCGTGATGGGATGGGTCACTCAGAGCTTACAAAGCCATCTTTTGGTATGCTCAAACAATACGCGCCTCAGCGGAGACACAGCCAAGGTCATGCAACTGGGAACAAAAAGTGCCAGTCATCCTCGCAGAGTGAGAGGCTGCCTCTCAGAGAGCAGCAGCTCTGAAAAGGTCTCTGGGATCACGGTCGCTGGGATCATCCAGCTGCACAGGAGCTCTCAGCTGCTAAATGTGCCAGTTTTGATGGGGATGTGCGATATGAGCATGAGGTGGGGTTATCTCTGGGCAAAGCAAAGCTATTTCTGGACATCCTAGGCTGATGTCCACACTAAGGAAGGATGTGGAAAGATTGGGAGAGGTTTGTAGAAGAGCTGCAAGAATGACTCAAGGTCTGAAAAAGAAGAAAAACACAGCATGCCACAAAAAGCCAATTGTTTGAAACTGTTTAACAGAAGGTTTATAATTGACTTGAACACAGTGTGGAAGTACCTATGCAAGGAGAAGCCATCTGATAGTACCATGCTCTTTGACTGAATAGACAAAATAATAGCAAGATCCAGCCGCTGGAATCTGAAACTAATTGAAATGAGAGGCACCAGATTATTTTATCTGCCAACTTCTGTCAAGATGTGTGATATTTTTAATAAAGATGTGTTGGGAGGAGATCAAATTTATTTTCTGCTCCAGCCTAGACACATGGATCAGGGCTACAAAAGGTTACTCTCCTTCTTGTTTTGCACAAGTAACTGCAACTGCTGTACCTTCCCTGATTTCTTTTAACAGCGAATGTGTGTGAAGTAACATCTACAAACTGAAGCATTCAGTTCATAAAAAACACAACTAAAGCCATCTAATCTAAAAGTCAGTAGCTATCAAAGTTTTCAGACTGTGTCTATGTTACATGGTCATTCCTTCTACACCCAATGAATATTTAAATTTTAATTTTTTATTGCTGGACAGTGTTTGAATACAAACTCGTTAGTTCCATCATGGCTTAAATGCTGTCAAGATATCATCCTTCTCATCCTCAAAATGCGTGGAGTCAGAGTGCCTCTTAGTTTTCTGTAGCTTTTTCTCTGGTCCAATAATGGGAAAAATGCTTTGGGAGGCTTATCACATCTGACCTCGTTGCAGATGAGAGGAGACTGTGTTAAATTGGTAGCTGTATAATCAGCCTGAAATCTAACTTTTGCTTCCATTTGCAACATTGCTTGTCTTGGCTATGTTTGTAACATTTGCTCAGTTTTAATTTCTAGACAAATAGCTCTTCTCTAATGATTAAATGTTCCTGGTTTACCATATCTATGGGTTTTATCCCTTATTGCCCATAATTTTTGAACAGGAAATCTCAGTGGAGCACTGAGAAGTGTGCTGTGATAATCTAACAGGACCAGACGTGGTTTCCTTGGACCTCTGGTTCTTTATTATATTTACTGAACAGTCTTCTTGCTTGCCTATGTGGCAGTGCCTAATAAGGACTTGCTTTAGTGTACTTGATCTAATTTCTCAAGCAAATTGCTGAAATAAGTCATTTGTGAAATGCAGGCAGTTATCTGGTATTAGCTCATCTGGAATCCAGGACATGTAAACTGTGATTTCGAGTGTGTTTTACACTGTTATTCAGCATGTTTTGTAACAAGTTAAAAATTATTAATAATTTATCTTTCCTGTTTAGTCCAAATGTATCTGTATCAACAGCAATCCCAGGTCTCTTATGGCTTCCAAGGTCTTTTGCATAATTTTCTGTATTTATTGTAGAATTTGTACTTGGATTCCTTATCTTGAACAACAGCATTTGCCAGACCACAGTAGGATTTTTTTTCAGTCCCTCATCTTGTACAGAGCCAGATGGATACTGCAAATTTTGTGCAGTTTGTTTGACCTCATTTTGCATGATGCTACCTATTGCATAGCCTCCTGCACCCAGAGTTGCACTATCTGTGGTAGTTTCATTGCAGTATTGTCAGTATTATTTTACCCTTCAAGGTGGGAGAGTTTCTCTTTCAGAGAGTTTCTCCATTTGGAATTGTGCTCTTAAGTTTCACTAGGACTAGTTCATTTTATGCATCTTATTTGAGACTATTTAATTCTATTACAGAAGTGGGTCATACTCAAATTAGACATGACTCCAAGCACATCCTCTTGCAGCTTCTTGCGTTTTCTCTACATGCAAATTATGAAAATATGTGCACCAGTAAAAGCTCCATACTGGGCATGTCATCCAGTAATTTTGCAATTTTATAATGATTTCTGGAACCTTAGAAGCATCTGTAACGCTACTTCCGAATGTAGGAGTTGTGGCAAGTTTGATGCTTTTGTGTACGTGAAGTACTTAGTAGTAGTCTAATGGAATTCAGTTAAACACCTCCCTGAAGAAATGTACATGGGGCATTTTATACATCGTGACCAAAGTATATTTACATGCACCAAAAACATGCCTTTGCTTTTTGAATTTCAGTTCCCAGGAAGTAGCGCTCACATTTTCTGGCTTTCAGAAGTTCATTTGAATGTATCCAAATCCTTGACTTGTTTCATTTTATTATCATGGCAGGCCTGTCAGTTCATTTGGTTTGTGTCTTCACTCTCTCAACAGTAGGTAGAATTATTGCCAGGTCAAGGTCAAATTTCAGTTCTACTTCCAGCCCGAAAGAGCTGGGATGCTATGAACTGGCACACTGGCAGCTCTACCAAGGCAAATTCCTGTATCTTCAGGAATCCCTCCTTTCAATTCTTCATCAAGTTTTTTAAGAATATTTCCTCTATCATGCTAAGCAGACAAGCTATATATCCATCTAACTATTGGCTTTTCCACCTGGTCTCCAGTGCATTCCTTTTCTTGTTTCAGCATCTTGGATTCTATAGGTTGATTGTCCTTCCACAGCCATGCAAACCCAATCCCACCACACCTTCTGTTATTGTGTAGGCCCTTTAAAATCAGCTTTTAAATATTATCTCTGATAGCCTGCTCTTCTCCCAGTTCAGCTCTGATTTCATTTCAGTCAGCTGTTTTGAAACATCACGTGCTTTATTTCTAGTTTTGAAGGCAGGGCTGACTTTGTACCTAAATGCTGCAGAACCCTTTTCCTCCTAATCAGTGCCCCTAATCAGGGGAAAGTGGGTGACAGAGCTGCCCCATGGTGGCACGTTCCAGTGTTTCAGCAGTGGCTGCATCCTCCCCTTCCCCACTTGCACCTCCC